TCCACAAGTCCCCATATCTTTTCAAACTATTAATGATACAGTAAAAATTAATACTGAAAAAGAATGAGTCACTCCCTCCACCATTGTTCAGGGAAAGTAAAACACAGTAATTAATGGGAAGGTATAGAATACACATCATGTGGACACAAAGATGGTGCAGAAGCACCCTCCAATGTCTATGATTAGAGGAGAAGAAACTGGATGATCATGATTATGTCCCGTTTTTTAACTTAATTTTTATTAATGAGATTTAGAAGAAATTTTGCAAGTGCGCGCCATGTCTAGCCGCACCTAATATGATGTAAAAGATATTTTTTAAAAAACTAAATGATCAAAATACTCTTGAACGTTTTAGAGATATTTTAGATAATTTATTTGCTATAAATTATTCTTTTATTTTTATACGCGTGCCTCGTTAAGAAATGTAGGCACAAACTTTCAAGTTGACTGAATAAGAAGTAAAATAAGAAGTTAACATTTTATTCATCATGGCCGTTCAGTTTATTCCATTCTAATCTTGATCTTCAAGGGGAACTTGTGCTCTATTCAAGCCTATATTTATCATAATTTACTTGGAAGGAGTGAACTCCATTACCATGCAATCCATTGATGGGATGAAATTCAATCGCATGTGGGTCACACTATGTAGTCCCAAAATTCCCATTGAGAGGAAAAACATAGTGATTTGAAGTCATCAATAATTTTGATAGGTCTGGGCCAAGGTGTTGGGGAATTCCGGTACGAGCAGAAGGATCTCCTTATCGCAGTGTCCCGGGGCGACTTGAAAGATGAGAAGATCAAGGAAAACCCATGCATTGACTCAGTGGGGGACACTCTCCTCCATTTCTTTGCCGGCATGGGAAGTGTCACCCTAATGAAAAGGCTTTTGGATATCATCCCTTCTGAGAAACTAGAGGATAACAACGATGCTGGTGTCACACCACTTCACAATGCAGTGTTCAGTAGGAATAAAGGAATGGTAGAATTGTTGGTGCAAAAGGAACCAACCCTGTTATTTTTGTACGATGCCTCCATGACGACACCCCTCGCCTGGGCAGCTTCTTCAAGTGGAGATATCATGAAGTGTCTCCTCAAGAAAGAGGTACAAGAGAAGGATTTGGTGAGAGAGTTCGACGGGAACACAATCCTTCATCTGGCTCTCCAAAGTAGGCAACTCGGTATGTGCAACCACCTTCATTTTATTTATTTATTTATTTACTTTGATAAGGTTAAATAGGAATGAAACTTGAGACATAGTGCTGTAAAAATCTTGCTGCTGCAACCTTGACTCAAGCCCAATTCCTAACCAAATTCACTCTACTTTGATGTTAACTTTAGGACCTCTGTAGGAATGGAATCCTAAACCTCATGTTGTAGTGTTTTTCCACACTCACAGCTTTGATCTTGAAGTAGATCTCAATAGAGGGCTTGGTTGGCTTAATTATACTATCATGCTTAACATTGTTTATTTAGTTATGGGAAAGGTTTCTATGCTTCCCCTACATCATAGAAGTTCTATCCTCCCCCTACCATCCAGTCGTTCAATTTTGATCAAGAGAGCCACTCATCGTTTGATCTTAGATCCGATGTCTCAAAGTATTTTATTTTTAGTTTTTTTTATACAAATTGTATGAATATGAAATTTGGTACGTCTTATCTTCTCTTTGGGGCGCACCTATAAAAAATATTAAATATAATTTTTCGATAAAATGTAATGACCAGATTACCCCTTGAAACTTTTAGGGGTATTTTGGCTATTTTATTTTATTGAAATTTTTTTTTTTTTTTTGCTAGTGTGAGTTTAATAGAGGAATGGACGTCCAAAATTTGGTGTTAAAATAGTTTATAAAAAAAATTTAAAATAAAATAATATAGAGACGTGACATTGTGATTGGGGTAATCTTTGCTGTCTATTTAGAATGGATGGTTGTCTACAATATTTTCTTTTAAATTTTTTTTCAATAAAATATTTTGACACCAAATTTTGAACGTCCAATCCTCTATTAAACTCGCACTAGAGAAAAATATAAACAAATATTTCCAATAAAATAAAATGACAAAAATACCCCTAGAAGATTCAAGGGGTATTTTGGTCATTTTATTTTATCAAAAATTATTTTTAATATTTTTTATAGGTGTAACCCAATAAGAAGATGACACATACCAAATTTCATATTCATACAATTTGTATAAAGAAACTAAAAATAAAATATTTTGAGATGTCGGATCTAAGATCAAACAGTAAGTGGCTCTCTTGATCAAAATTGGACGGCTGGATGGTACGAGAAGCATAGATCTTCTATGCTGTAGGGGAAGTATAGAAACCTTTCTCATATATTTATATATGAGCAATGATCCAATACAACGGTTGTATTATAATATAATGCAACGACACTTCTAGAAAACCATGTTTGTGGTATTTGTATGACCTCAAATTTTTCAAACACTCTTTCTTCATCTCAATAATCAATCCCCAATTTTTTTTTTTTTTAATTTGAACCCTAGATACAGAAAATGAGTCCCCTCCAAAAATGAATATAGACCATTCATTTTGTGAGTTTCAAGATCTTATCCTTTATAAAATCAAAATCATCTTTTTTTTTTTAAACATTGTTCATCTAATGATAATAAATCCATCCAAAGAAATTGGAAATGAAAAAAATCCTTCTAAGGCCTAGATCTAAGCATCTCACCAAAATAAACGACCTATGTCAATTGGGCTAAAATAATATTTTCTTGGTTGTGTTTTCAATTTTTTAGTTTTTTTGTGATTGTTCATTAGAATGAAAAGCACGTATCTTTCAAATTTTGGATCAAACAAATGGTATAAGATGAGTTTTTAAGGTTGTTGCATCATATTACTATACAACAGTTGCATGAAATCATTGAGCTATATATATATATATATATATATATATAGGAGTGTATTCTATGCAACAGTTAGTATCTATAGTATCTATGACACCACTACTTCTAACGTAACCAAGTTGTTTGGTTGGTTAGTTTGTAGTCGAACCTAA